GTGGAACACAACAGTATTATTCACTGAAAAATCTTGGGTAAAGCTTGTTTAAAATGGAAAAAAAAAATCAGAAAATGCTAGCAGGTGTTTCAGAACTTTCATTAATAAGATCTAAATCTCAGGATCAATCAATAGATCATAAGTCTAAAGGGAACTTCAGATCTCACTTTCTGTATGAGCAAACTAAGGTCTTGACCCGAACATGGTCATAAAAGGAGTATATGACAAACCTAAGAAACTATACCACACTGCACTTTAGAAGTACAGGGTAAGAATCAAGGTATATTCCTAGGCATTCAAACTGCTTCCCAGAGAAACAACTACTTTCTGGGACTATAAACATTTATGTATCACAGAGGGTAGTAATCCAGGTGAAACAGAAAGGCAAGAAAATCAAAAAGCAAAGTATTGCTTATTACTTTGTGAACTTGGACTTGTGAGACAGTGAATGACTGTGTTGGTTCCTGCTCAAAGGCATTTATATTAATTAAATAGTTTAAATTATTGCACTCTAAAATACATTTATGGGCAAGTGACATATGAGGCAGGGCAATAAAAGCAATACACTCCAGGAGACTTGACTAGGACCTAGATAGAGGCAGTTTACATGGCCTCTTAAGGAGGCCCCAAAACATCATAGTTAACCTTAATACCCAGAGGAAGCCTGATAATAATAAAGACTTTGTAGGACTTCTGTTTTCCCAACTGAAGTGAATGATCACTACATGGGTGCCCTATAAATTCAAGATTTTTATACCAAAGAAAATGTTAAAAAGGCTTGAGAAATGCTTTTTTATTCTTTATCTTACTAAAGATGATGAAACGATTCTAAACAGTAAGGTCCTAATGCAGGAAGGAAGTAGGAGAAAAAAAATTACAAAATTGTTGAGGGCTAATCAGTACTAAGATGCTACCAAGTGGAAGAATACTGAACTTTTGGGAAAAGATACACAGCCCAGTCTAGGTGGAATTATATGTATAAGGATTACTTATGGAGAACTCATATTTTTAAGTAAGCATATGATGGCACTGAAAAATAAATCGCACTACTGTCCTTAGGAGGTAAGAGCTTTGTGGCACTGTTAATTCTGTTGTGAGGGCCTATGATACTGTGATTTTCAGGATGTTAGGAGTATTTTTATACTGTGATATAAGGATTTTTTTCTTAAAAACAGAGGGTTTTTTTTTTTTCTGGTCCAAGCTAGCTTTCTGTTTGTTAATGCAAACAGCTCCTTAACAACTGCACTACATGCTTCTAAAACTCAGCTTCAATAACCTATATTAATATATATGATTCTATAGATGATCATATCTATAGACAATGGAGAATTCAATGGATGAATTATGCTGACATCAGCCTTTCTCTACATTAACACTAAAACTAAATTTTCAGTGGTGGATAAGCAAGAAAAACCTTAGCTACCTTCTGAAGTTGAGAAAAAATGGTTATTTTAATGAAATCTATAATCATTTTTGGAAAAGTGATTCTTTTCACTACTGATAGGGCAATTTGCAATGAAGGTACACACAAGCATTAGCTAGTCCTCCTGAGGACTAGCAGTCAAATTTGTTTATCTTTCTATCTATATCCCTCTAAACCCTGCTTGTTTTCACACTCAAGGAATTGAATGACCTTAGCAGAACAAAAAGCTGGTTAGAGGACTAATACAGACAACAAGAAGGCTTACTACCACCCTGGAGTGGAGACATACAAATCTATGTAGATTCTTTTCCTGTCAATGATAAAAATTGAATGAGTCAACATATGAACTATAAGGAGACTCTAATGGCTCTACTTCTGTGAGGCATTTTCTAAAGCAGGTGGTACTACCATTTATTTTTCTAGTTTTTGATTTTGACAGCCACTTATACACTTAAGAAATATGAGAAAATATATTTGTATATGGTTTAATAACTGCAGTCCAAATGATAATGATTAGCAGATTCACATCAACTTTGAGGGAGACCTCTACTTGCTCTATTCTTGTTTTGGTTCTACAAAACATTTCAATTCAACAACTTGGAGAAACAGGACCATAATTCAAAGTGAATGGAAAGTTGATAGGCAGGTTTACATAGTGCACTGAAAATTACTGATTGAACACCCCTATGGGGTAAGGTGTTAAAGTGAATACAAAGATTATTCAAGATGGTATACTTCCTCTCATGTTCCCTTCTTGATTGGGGAGGTAAAATATTAACAAATATTCATTGAAAAAGGATTGACAAATTCCATAATGAATAAAGAAAAAATGTCTGGATAGGTCAATGAAGGAAGATCTTACTTTTAGCTTTAAGTGTTGGTGGGTTTAGAATCAGACGCAATTTAGTGGAAGCACTCATTAGAACATGTTAACTGAGTAGAATTTAGACATGTATTAATCAAGAAAAGGGGAACTACATTCAAACATGGAAAACCATGGAGCTTACATGAGGAAGGATTTGTGGTTTTGTCTGAAGAATGGAATTCAGGACAGGGATCAGTAGGAAATAAAAGTTGGGTAATAAGATTCTGGGACACAGGTTGGCACAATAAACTAAAAACAGTAAAATTAAATTTAACTTGGATGAACTTCTAGTTTTAGGATGGCAGTGTAAAGATATTGCTCCCCCTTTCTTCTTAAAAATCACCCCCAAACAACTTTAATAACTAAGAGCCATATAAGAACCGCAATGCCTGAAAATTAAAAGCAGAAAATAAAAAGAAGAATGATTGATGAGCTCGCATAACACAGGAAGGCCAAGTCCTTGTGTCTGAAGAGGGAGACACCAAGAAAGAGCAGCATGTCTAGAGCCCTATAATAATGCTTAGGACATAGGAATACCTATACCAAAGGCTGCAGGAAGGCAACAAGCTAAAAACAGAACAATTTGGCTAAAACAGGAAAAGTCTGAGGTGGTTAAAATTGAACCCTTATCTGTATTCAGCTACAGAAGCAAAAAGGATGGACTTAACTCTAGTCCACCTAGTACCTGAGTTAAGTGTTAAGAAGTGCTACAGTACTTTTTCTAATAAAACTAAGGAAGGCCTCACTTAGAAGATAATATTTGAATGAAGATTTGAAGGAAGTTAGAGAGCAAACCTGAAGATATTTGGGAAAAAGCGTTTCAGACAGAGAACAGCTAATCCAACAAAGGCCACAAAACAGGACAGTGACTGTATATTTATTCAAGGAACATCAAGGAGGCCAGTATAAGTTGGACCAAAGTGAGTGAGGACATGAAATCAGAGAGATAAAAGAGGTTCTATCTAACCTGTAGGGGATCTATTTGATGGATCCGTAAAGAACTTTGGCTTTTAAGTCTCATACACACACACACACACACACACACACACACACACACACACAGAAAGCACTGGGAAAAATAAAAGTCACAAATGGTATGCTGGTTAATTGAATCTAGATAATACCTAATATGATAGTTTAAAGTAAGTGTTTATTAAACATTTGTGGAATAAGTGGGCAACGGTAGATTCCCTCTTATCTGTGGGTGATATGAACCTCCTCTCCCAGTGGATGCCTGAGATGAAGACTGATCCCTATGTACAAGAGTTCAATACTGGGAGGGTAGTTCTTATAACTGAGATGACTACTAACTGACTATCTATGAGGGTAAAGTAACAGCATGGATACACTGGACAAAGGGGATGACTCAAGTACCAGGTGGGATGATGTCAGAATGGCATGCAACTTCAAACTTAGGGATTGTTTATTTCTGAAATTTTCCATTTAATATTTTCAGTTGGAAGTGGGTTATGGTTAACTAAAACTGTGGAAAGCGATACTGTGGATATAAGGGGACTACCAGAGAGCAGTTATCCTAAGACAGTCTTTCATGAAAGATTTCAGGGCATTCTTAGATATAATCAAGTAGATCTTATTTCCTATTATATATTGGTTAGGCCAGGAGAGACTAACATAAAAACCTTTTATGACTCATTTTGAAACCTTTACTCTCGTTTGAAAGAGTCACAAGCTTTTAACAATCTATCTTTCAAGCTTAGGTATTCCTGGGTTCTAGCTTTTAAAATATATTCATATTCAAACTTACTCTTTTTTATTCATATTAAATAACCTTACATATTTTCATCCCAAAATATATTTTTTCTGCAACCTAGAGTCTAAGCTATTGTCTATTACTGAATTCTGAAACTGAGAAATTTACTTCTTCCACTACACAGAGGAAATGAATGTGCTTTTTGCCTCATTGTCAACACTATAGCTTCTAAATCAGGCAGTTTGCCCTTTCTGGTTGTTGAGAGAGCAGAGCAGTATTTGCTTTTGAATTATTTTGACAATAAATAATGCCATGGACAGTGAAAACAAATCTGTTCTTTAGTCACTAGTGCTTCTTTTGCTTGATAATAAAATGTTACAAAAGCATTAAATTTTGATTAACAGAAAAATGATTTTCAGCTAGCTCTTTCAACTAGTTGCATCAGGTCTTTTTTTACATGCAAGAAATTAACTTCTTCTACTATAGATGACTGCATACATTTTTTATATCATACCATGTTAAAACTTCTTAAAAACTATAATATTAAAAGCATTACCTTACATGGCCAAGAGAGGTATGTTCTTTTCTATAAACCGTATCACTGATAGATGAACATCAAAATAACATATATTTAAAAACCATTCTTTGTGCTAGCATATGGGAATTCAGCTAAAATTGTATGATTTATCAAATGAATAGTCTACTTTCACTTCTTTCTGATGTATCTAAGATATGCAGTGATAACTTTGCATGAAGAAAGAAAATTGGACAAATCTATCTAATATTGAACTATGTTAATTTGAAGTGTAGTCAATTTTAAGATTTGACTTCTGGTCACTTTCATCAGTGTATTCATTAAAATATAAAAGAAGTAGGAGACTGGAAAACTTGGTCACTCAGTTTAGCAGTTTTCTCAGATTGAAAAAATAACAATGAAAACTTCAGGGCTAAGAATTTCAAAAGAGGCTGCTAGACAGAGAAGACAGACCAAATTAGCTTACCACTTGAACCATTTTGAGATATCTGGCATATCTTGGATCCTTGGCTACAGTTAAGATATTTTCTGATGATACTTCACTTTCCTGTTGTCCAGAGTCTTGTGTACTGTTCTGCTGTAGAGAGTATTTTGTGTAAATCTTTAGACAATTCACAGAAAGGGTCCATCATGTTACTTAAAAGGGATTTTTTTTTTGCACATCATAAGACAATAAATACCAGAAAAAATCATATTCGTAAGTTTAAATACCAATAATTTAATTATGGGTATATGTTTCCAAATACTTAAATATTATCTCAGAGGAAGCTACACTTAATATGTTATTTCTTAAAATGCAAATGCATTCATGGCATTAAAATCTTAATTCTGCCTTATATGTTCCTACAGTGCTGATATAAAACATGAATTAATAGGTGATATATTTTGCTAATAAAAACTTCAAATAGAGCTAGTAAAATCACTTGATTTATTGATCGTTCAACTTTAATGGTCAGTAAATTGATTTTTTAAGGTATATGCCATCTATCCTATTGAACCCCTTATTTAGCAAATTATCTTACTCTAAATGGACATGGCTATTCTAATTTTTAAGAAAGGAATCCCTAGATATTTGTGGGAGAAAACTCAGCTTCTCAGATAATTATTTGTTTTTCTACATTCTAGGTACTGATGGAGCTATTATTAATGGTAATACTGTTCACAGAGAGGTTAAGATTAAATACTAAATACCACTTACAATGACAGATACTGAGGAATGATCTTTTTAAATAAAAATGCTTTGGTTATATAGGCAGTTCTCACTTTGCATGGCCCTATGTTAACTGAAGCTTGACCAGAGTGGAATCATGTCCTCAGATAAGTATAAAACTAAGACTATCTGTTACAAAGTACTTGATGTTTCTACCAAACTGATTTTTGGTTTGTTTGTTTGAGGTACTGGGGCATGAAATCAGGGCCCCATGCTTGCTAGGCAGGCACTCCACCACTGAAGCCACTCCGCCAGCCCTCTACCAAACTGAAATTTAGAGTAAATTTACTTCTGTGAATCTCAACTCAAAATCTCCATATAAGTGTGAAGAAACATTTAACAATTGAAATCAGTTTTTATGTCTATAGCTATGCTAAAACATGGATAAATTATGTCCTTAAATCTTCATAGTATTTAGAACATGAATGTAGATTACATATTATATGCTAAGGTTTTTCCTCACATAATTCATATATAAACTAAATTGTTTAAAAAAACCTCTGAAGCAATAAAACATCTAAAAATTCCTTAGAGTTTTCCTATTATATAATATTGTTAAATGCTGTAAAAATGAGTGGCTATAAATATATATATATGAGCATATACATATATACATATATATATTCATCTGTGACATACTTAAGTGCAAAAGTCCAGAACATTGTTAACTAAATAAAAAATAAAAACAAGATCCAAGTGTATGTTTTCCAAGTGTATTTTTTTATAACTTTATGGACAATAAATTCATACAAAAGCACAATGGAGCAAATGAGATCTACATACCCATCTAACAGTTTTCAGCTCTCAGCTTTTTACTTCTGCCTAATAACCAAGGTCTCACGAGGCTTATGTGTCTTATATCTTTGCTATCTGAATGACCTATATTCAATACTTTCAACTGTGTATCATTTATTCAAATTAATCTTGATCCTTATAATTGGATGATCTGTTGTGAAAAATAGTAAGACCTAAAACATGAAATTAAAGTTGCAGCAGAATCAATATACAAGCCTTGAGTCTTTGACTCATATATTGATTTGAGATAATGATAAATGAATGATGGTTTTGAAAGTGCATAATTATTCTTTATGACAAAAATATCTAATAATAACTATAGTAACAATGAAAATGATGGGTAAAGAACTACTTAAGCCCATTTCAAAATATTTTACATAAATATACCAATTACTAACAATGAAGAAGAAATGAGAAGTTGATTTTAATATTAACATGTAATATTAGTATAAACATAATATTATTTTATTAAGCTGATTAACACAAAACTTTACCACAATGTTTTAAATGCAGGAAGCCAACAGAACATTTATAAATATTCTAAATTCATACATAACTTAAAAATTGTCAGAAATATAACAGATGATTCTGAATCGGAAAAGCAAATTAAGAAATTCAGGTATAATTACTGCTAATCAATTTTTGGTACCTAAATAGGCAAAGACCAACACAACTACATGGAAGTCCTAAATACATACTATAGATTGCCTTTATAATAGTACCTGGAGAAATTAATATTAAGTTAGAGAATATTGAAAATTTTTATATAAACATGACAACTGTATTCACCAAAAAATAACCACTAAGTTGAGTGGAAATTCTTTCTTAATATTCTTTAAGATGCCTTGCTTTTGAAAACAGGCAGTCCATATTTAATTTAGAGAACCCTGCTAAACTCCTCCACAACATCTAGATCTCTTGCAGGTTAAATTTAAACTCTAATGGCCTCCATAATGGAATTTACTACATTAATTAAATGGAGGTTAAATTTTCTAATACCCAATTGTTATTGAGCAAATAATCATCAAATTCATTTCCCCCATACATACCATATCTGAATATATGCCTCCTTTCACAGGGCCTCATACCAAACATCTTCAGTAAATTTAATGAATTGAACACAAGTACTGGAGATAGCGTAATAAAATGTAGCAGGAAAAAGCTAGAACTCCTAGCACCAGACTTCCTGGGTTAAAATTATAGCTCTCATATTATTATTTGACCTTCAGAGCAATTTACTTAACTTCTGCATGCTCTGTAAGGTAAGACAGATAAAATAGTACAGTTGTCCTCAGTATCTGTGAAGGACTGGCTCTAGGACCCCTGAGGATATTGGAATCTGCAGATGCTCAAGTCCCTTACATAAAATGGCAGAGCATTTGAATTTAACCTATGCACATCTCCTAGTACACTTTAGTCATCTCTAGATTACTTATAATGCCTAATACAATGTAAATAGTTGTTGCATTGCTCAAGGAATAATGACAACAAAAAAGTCTGGACACCTTCAATAGAGACATAATTTTATTCTGGATACTTTCAATCTGTGATTGGTTGAATCCACAGATGCTGAACCCATGAGTACAGAGGGCTAACTATACTTGAATCACAGAGCTATGGTGGGATTAAATTAATTAATTTATGGGAAGCACTTAGAAATGTGCATCCCTGGCACACAGTAAGCATTCTTTAAGTGTTAACTATTAACATCACTGTCAACATCATTATTACCTACAAAATATCCTGTGACAAGTACTTCTAGGTAGAAATGCAGAATTCAATTATATAGGAAAGCTATTTACTTAGTATTACTTTGGTGGCCACCAATTTGGTGATTATTTTATTTCAGGTCAATATCTCATGAAGATGCCTGTTCTCAAATAAGAATTTTTATTTAAAACAAAAAGTAGTAAAACTTTTAAATTTATACAGAAGTATAAAAGAACATTAATATGTAAGAGCCAAATGTAAGGTGTAGCTCTTACCAGGATCCTGATTCAAACAAATCAGGGTAGAGTTTGAGATTCTTCATTTCTACCAAGTCCCCAGGTGATGCCCATGCAGCTAGCTCATGGGACATACAGCAGAGTTAAATGACACCAGGGAATTGCTGTTAATTATATTATATATGATAAAAATAAGGTTAAAAGCATTTATGTAAGAAAAAACATTATATAAGAAAATGTCAAAACTTCCCAGAGATGCTCAAGGAATTATGCAAGGGTAAAATGACATGATGCCTGGGATTCATTTCAGCAAGTAACAAAAAAAGATAGATGAAAAATCTTAACTGGTGAATCTGGATAAGGGCCTCTCAGTATTCATTTTATTATTCTATTTTTGTGTATGCTTACAATTTTTATAATATTTTAAAAGAACCTAAAATAATTCCATAGTGAACTTGAAGAAGCAATTTAAGTTTTTTTCCTGTGTAGACCGATTTTCTTTTTTTATAGGCAAAGAAAATATTAACTTTGGGAAGCCCTTCAGAATAACAAAACAGCTGAGTGTTTTTCTCAAACTTCCTTTTCTATCTTAAAGTTTTATAACTTTACTGTTAAAAAGTTTCACATTTCTGTAACTTCTTCCTTCTAAGATCTAAGTATAGATGTATTAGGTTCAATTGAGAAGATCTGCTCATGTTTCTTGGAACTTAAATACTTACCTGTGATTTCTCTGAAGTGATTTCAGAATGTGATCCATTTGTGACACTAGTGACATGTAAAGGAGATACTTCAAATGTGACATCATCTAGGCCTGGGATAGAAGACAACTGAGAAAAGCAAATTAGTGTCGGCATATGAAGACAATTTAGGTATGTAAATAAAACAGTTCTTACATGTATATATGTGTGCTTTTATTGGTGGTGCTGGCATTTGAACTCAGGGCTTCACTCTTGGGAGGCAAGTATTCTACCACTTGAGTCGCTTGCCAGTCCTCTTTCGTGTTGGGTATTATTGAGATAGGGTCTTGTGAACTATTTGTCCAGGCTGACCTTGAACTTTGAGCCTTCTGATCTCTGCCTCCTGAGTAGCTAGGATTAAAGGCGTGAACCACTGGCACAGAGCACATGTGTGCTTTTTAATAGTTGTATGAAGTTTAAAGCCTACATAAATTTTAGGCATCCATCAAATCTCATTCTTTTTTGGTACTAGGATTTGAACTCAGGGCCTCACATTTGCTAGGCAGGTGCTCTACCACTTGTGTCACTGTGCCAGCCATTTTTTGTATTGGGTATTTCAAAATAGGGTTTCGAGAACTATTTGCCTGGGGTGGCTTAGAACTACTATCCTCCTGATCTCCCTCCCAAGTAGCTAAGATTACAGGTGTGAGCCACTGGCACCTAACTTCATGAGATCTCACCTTTAATTCTCCAGGCCATTAAACTAAAAAGTGGACGACATTCACAAATAACATACTTTCGGACAATTTCTCAGGAATGTAATTTGGCTTATAACCATTCTTAGAAGTTGTTTTTGAAATACACATAAGTTATTTTTGAAATATACATAAGTTATTTTTGAAATATATAGTCCTTTTTCTAATGTAAGGACTGAGAGGATGGGCTTTGAAGCCAGGCTGCATCAGTTTAAGATGAAGCCAGCCCTACCACTCACAAGCTATGTGGCCTCTTTGGCTAGTTCTTCTATGCCTTCATGTTTCTCACCCATAGTGGGGATAAGAAAATTTACCTTCTAAAATTGTTGTAAAACTTTTTTATTAAAATGCTTAGTAAAAAATGTGCACTTTAGAACATTTTAAAGTTTTAATTATTTTGAATATAACAAAATTCTTGATATCTTAATGCCTTACAAACCTCATTTTTCATTTATCACTGAATGTTCCTAAAATATATTGTTTCTCATACACAATAAATATTGTCAGTATTTCAGGTTAGATTTGCAAGATCTATACAAATCTTCTTTTCTGATTTTATCTTGGTAATCAATGACATGCATTTGTAAGATATTAGGTTAACTGTGGGAGTTAACTCTATGCCATGGAAATAAGTAAGGTTAACTTGTCCACACGATAATTTAACTTCTGACCTTGGAATATAATTCCATGAGAATTCCTAAACAGTAAAATAAGACATAATAAATAATGAAAAAACCAATGGTAATAAGATCTCAGATAGCATTACTCATTGATACCTGTTGACTGATGACAGTACTTAGCATGGTGGCTATGGTCCAAAGAGTTTCAAGTGGGTATGACTTGTAGGAGAATATCTAAAACATGTTCAAGGCAGGTATACTAAATTACTAAGCTGGAGAAACATTCTGAGAGGAACACAGTTGCTGGAGTCCACAGACGATGTAAAGAGTACCCAGTATACATTTTTCTTCTTGTTCTAAAGATATCAGTATCATTCTTCTTCCTTATGAATGTTCAATAAATATTTTGGACAATTCTTTAAATTTTGAAATTAAATTTATTTTTAAACTGATATATAAAAACATAAAAATTGTATACTTTACGTGGTACCATTTGGGAAGGATAAAAGGATAAAGTCACAAAAATGTGTTTCCCTTACTTTACACGTGTACAATATTAAAAATGAAACCAAGTTAAAACCAAATATGTCACTATTATTTATCAAAATCATTAGGCTTTCAAATCAAAACAGCTTTCTATTTTTCCCAGTTAACTCTTAGCAATTTGTAACATCAAACTGGTATTCTTCATTAGCATGTAAGATATTTGCAAATGGAAAATGTCTGACATTGTCTGTAAATTTTACTCTAGAGAAATCTGAATTTTATATAAATACTATGTTATTACATGATAACCGTTGAAGTAATTTTGAATTTTCTATCAAGTGAACTATATAATAGCTCGATTTGTTAACATGTTACCTTTGCTTCTGACTAACATAATGAAAGAAATCTCAATCCATGTGGACATTTAAAAAGATTCAGTTAATGGTTTATAACGATTAACATTTCCTTTCAATTTCAACAAAAATTTAAAAATACATAATATTGTTCTACTTCATAGATGTAAAAGTTAAACTGAATTCATTCTTAAATGCAATTAAAATTAAATATGACTGAGAAGGATGGTATATCTACAGCAAAGTTCGTGCTGTATATTCATAAACACAAACCTTTGCATCCAAAATATTGAGAGTTGTTTCAATCTGTTGGATACGAAGAGAAAGGTCTGCCAGTTTCTAGAAAAGAAAAATTAGAAACATGTGAAAAGTCTTTGATTAAAACTATTTAAAAGAGTAACAGAGGGCTGAGAGCATGGCTCAAGTAGTAGATGTTTGCTTAGAAAGAGAAGGGCCAAAGTTCAAACCCCAGCACCGCCAAGAACAACAATAAAGAGCAATAAACTGTGGTTTAAGTGTTTTCATTTTTGAATATACTATTGTATTATTTATATGACTAGGAATGGGAACTCAAATATTCTATTAATATTATTAGAATGCTTCATAGTTATTTTATAAAAATAATACTCATGAATAAAAAAGTTACATTTTCAGCTTTAGCAAACTCATTACCAGAACAACAAACAATCATTTGGACCAAAATATAAACTCAACCCTTCCAGTCCTTTGTTCACTGCTGTACCCTCAGTTCCAAGAACAGCACATAAAACTTAACAGGCGCTTAATAGTGAATTCTTCATAGAAAACAAGAGAAAGAATAAAAATTAGCCAAAGATGGCCTGAAATATGATCTGCCTTTATAAATTACTTAAACATGTAAACATAAACAATTCATCCTAAGTGCAAATTTCTCAAGTTTGAAAAGTAAAAGAATGAAAATAACAGTTAATTTTGGGAAAACTTAAGAGTACTAAAAAGAAGTAAATTATCATCAAAGTCCAAGATAAACTAGAACAAAGAGCTTAGCATGTTCTAATTACTCTGTACAATTAAATCCACACATATATACTCCCACGTAAATAACAGTAACATTATAAATTATGATTCCTAAGGACATTTATTTAAAACCCCCAGCATGAACATTATCACATTCAGTCACAGACTAAGAGCAGATGGCAGGATTGTTTGCTGTCTAGGATATTATCAAAATCCTTACTGAAGAATTTTAACACCCTAAAAAATGGTCATTGCCCACAATTAGGAGTAAAATACCGAAAGCAGCCAGAAAGGAGTTAGTGTTTCTTAACAGGACACTTCTGTTGAATGTTGCTGTCTTCCACAGGCCAGCCTTGAACTTTTGGTCTCAAGGGAAGTCCCCTGCCTCAGCCTCCCAAGTAGATGTGTCAATAGGCATAAGCCACTGTGCTTGGCTCTGTCATCTGCAATTTAAAGAAAAGCTGTGCTCTTATATTTTGCCTCTTTTCATCTAAGTTGGAATATAGATGTGTTAACATCCCATCTTTGATCTTGAAGTTAAAAAAAACTTTAGGGGCCTAGTATGGTGGCATACACCTATAATCTCAGCTAGTCAGGAGGCAAAGATCAGAAGGACTGAAGTTTGAGGCCAACCCAAGTAAAAAGTTAGCAAGAACCCATCTCAATCAACAAGCTGGGCATGGTGGCACAAGCCTGAGATCCCAGTGATACAGGAGGCCATAAATAGGAAGGTTATGGTCTGAGACTGGCCCGAGGCAAAAACACAAGCCCCTACCTGAAGAACAACTGAAAAAAAGGGCTGGGGCATGACTCAAGTGGTAGGGCACCAACCAAGCAAGCAAGCATGAAGCTCTGAGCTCAAACTCCAGTACTGCAAAAAAAAAAAAAAAAAAGAGAGAGAGAGAGAGAGAAGGAGAGAGCAAAAGAAAGAAATGCCTCAGAGAATGGTGGAGCAACAGTAAGAAACTGTTCTTGGATGATATTATTTAACAGGAGCTCTGAAAATTTAGATCAGCCAGACTGATATATGAGAAAGATAAGTTTAATTTTATTTAACTTGCATTCTGTACTTTGTTATGGTATCATATCCTTTCTTACATCTAATAGAAAGAGCTGGGATACAGAACACATTTTTAAGATAATCATCTTGATAACCACAAGGATGCAATCTAGAAATAAAGTATCAGAATCCAGGGATTTTGTTTGTTTGTTTTTGCTTTTTGGTTGTTGTTGCTGTCTGTTTTTGAGACAGGGTCTTGTTATGTAACCCAGGATGACAGTGAGTTGGTGATTTTCCTGCCTCAGCCTCCTGGGCTGAATTAGAAGCATGCACTGACAAAATCTAGTTTTAGTGGCATGGAAGCTAAATTCAACCTTGACTTCTAGGATTTGTTCATATATGGCTTTTATGTAAACATAAATACATATTACAAAACATATCATGGATGAATTCCTCTCCTAATTATAGGTGTATTCCTGAAAACCATGAAAATTCAATTTTGGCAAGTTTAATCAGTCTTTCAATTCACTTTGCAAAATGAAAAATTTCAATTTATTAAAATGAATACAGTGGTTTGAGTAAAGTGAATACAAAACAGTGTGAAAAATGAATTCAAAATTTAATTTTTATATTTCAATGTATCCAAATCAATATATATTTTTATTTTGGGGGTGGTACTGGGATTTGAACTCAGGGCCTCGGGGTGGGTAGGCATTCTATCACTTAAGCCATGCCTCTGACAATATGTACTTTTAAGAAATAACCATAATCATTGTAAACATTTGATCATTTATGTATGATACATTTATATGCAGCATATCATTTGAACTCACACCAAATCTATAAAGTAGGAACTATATGATAATTTTACAGATAAGAAAAAAGCTGAGTAAAATAACTTGAATTCAAACACTTCAACTCCAGAGTCAATATTCTTACCAGATACTACTTTTGAGAGAATTTTGCATTGCTATATGATAATGATAAATTCTTAGGGATTACACAGACAGAACTTTTGTTATCCAAAGTTAATAAATGATTAGTCTGCTCTCTAAGATGTTACTGTGCTATATGTACTAGGAATCAAACTTTTCTTATCTTGATAAATTTACTATGAAAGATGCCATTTATCTGGAGCTACTTTTAAAAATTAGTATTAAAAATTCTTAGGATTGGATCATAAAACTCACTTGTAACTAAAGGGGCTCTCAAGTGAATGTCACACAGGAAAGACAGGACTGAAATACAGATCCTCATAAAGAAAGGACTAAGGATGAAAATATTTACTTGGAAAACCATTTGTTGATAAAGACTGAAGATACCTAGAGAAAAAAAAATGATACTTTTCCAAGCAATAGTTCTCCTTTTGGGATTTTTTTTTAAAAATACAGATTAGTCTGGTGTAGCTATCTTTTTGCCTTGGCACTCATTTTGACTCTCATCTACTACAGTTAAAACCTCACCAAAATGAAATGACCCATTTTTATAATAAAACAACAAGACTGTATGTTTTATCCATGTGAGACATAAAACACAGTGATGTAAACATTAAGCATTTTTAATCATTTATCTGAATATTTTTGATAGTTTGAAAATACTTTTTCTAAATTTAAAATAATTGAGGGGATTGGTATCTCAAATCTTTTTCTTACTACTGCTACTATGACTTATGTCATAACTAGGTTGACTAATGTAAAGATTGTCTCAAGAGAAAACTTAGCTTAGTTTTATACTATTCTAACTTCCAAAAAATTGTCCAAATAGCCTAGTTTAAAAATTCATTTGAGGGACTCAGGGTATTTTAAGAAACATTGTACATTTTCAGATAACATTTAACATTTGAGAGTCTCAAAAAACAATTCTAGAAAAGGTTAATTAATAACTCAGAATAATTTTTATTATTATAAAATATCCAGTTTACATACCCACTTCTCTAAAAAAGAAGTGATGCTTTGGGGAAATAGATTTAGAAACTGAATTTCAGTATTCTAGTAGTAATTAAACCAACAAGGTAATTACTTCTATTATATTATCATAAACCTGTAAATGAGTATATGAAAGTCTGATAAGTTGGTGAAAGACTTAAGGGTAAAGTAGAGCAAGAAAAAAATCTTGTCAATAATAAACTTCTTTATAGTTACAAACAAACATCATGAACAATAATAGGCTAATGAGGAAAATGTGTAACAACTTAATACTCTTTGTATGTATGTATATGTATTTAGGATTCATCACAGTGATGACTCCAATAGAAAAAAGGCAAACAGTAAGACCCCAGTAGAAAAAAATGACATGTGCATAATTAATTTTAAAACTAAAAAGTAAAATAAATGTGAATGTTATTCTAAAGAAACAGTATTTTAAAATCTTTTGACACATTCCACTGTGTTATATATATCCTTGAATCCAGAAAGGGAAGGGATCAATGATTTTATTAAGCTCCATCTCATACTTAATCCTAGCCACTGTAAGAGGCAGCAAAAATAAGGTTCTAGGCAAAGCATTAGCTGGGTAAAGATTAAGTTCAATGGTGGGCTTAGAAATTGGACACAGAAGATTAATACTCTAATTTTTTTAGATAGTATGAGAATTCTCAGCACTTTTGCCTGCACTTAAATTTAGAAAAAAAATTAGAATATCAAAGAAATGATTTTAAATCCAGTATTCTATTTATGAAGGAAGAAGAAAGGACCCTAAATAACTCTAACTTAGATCTCCTTTCTCTGTCCTGTGATCTCATCAGCCATAGAAAAGTTACAAAGTAGTCTAGTATGGAGAAAGTTTCCAAAGAGTTGAATTCTTCACAGAATAGTTACAGCCTCCTCTCTTTAGTAGAGTATTCTAAAAGATAGTGTAACTGATGAAGAACCCTAGTAATTTGTTTCAAATTAAATTCCAGTTTGAGTTTAGCTGTGACTGAAAGTGTTACAGTTTAAGTTTCATTCAAATCAGATCATGCAGAGGAAAAAGAAGCTTCCTTTTTTCCCCCAGTTCACTTCCAGTTCAAAAACTAACAGCTGAGACTCATTTTTTTGTTGTTGAGGTACAGTCACATTGGTTCTTGTTTAAGGCTTTCAATAAACAAGGAATACAGACCTAGTAGATGCTATTAACCAATTAAAAAACATTTCAAGAAGTCACACTGATTTTAACTTGGGAAAAAGTGGCACTTTGCATTTGAATAAACATATTCTTAGAATTTATAACGTCAAAAAAAGACATTAAATAGATCTGGCATAGCAAACAACATAAATCTAAAAAATCGATTCTGAAATAGCTATAAAGAAGACACTGTATTCTATCTCTTGCAAGTGATGTAATCATGCTTCTTATTCAGATATGAAGGTGCAATATAGAGAACAGGCAGATGTTTTTAGCTTTTCCAATTAGTAGACCAGAGTCAGAATCCTAATTCTGCCACTTTGTATCTGTTACTGCTGTGAGTTCAAGCCACTAGGGGGCAGCAACAAATACATGTTAAATGAATAAATGAGCAAATAATTTTAAATTCTCCACATCTTAGTTTGTGTATCTACACAAGCGGGATGGTTGGATGTCTCTCAAAGGCCTGGACTGTGATGATTACATATATGTAAAGCACTTAATACAATGCCTAACCCAGAAGAAGCATACAATAAATATTAGTTATTGTCATCTTACTGAGCAATCAACCCACATAAATATCCAAAGTGCCAAAATATAAACTGTAAATATGTCACAGTCAACCCCAGATTATCATACATGAATAAAAGGGATGGACACCAGCAAGATGGTGGCATACTTTCCAGCACTTGTTCACCAGCAGAAACATCAACTTGATCAACTACTCACACATGAAAACACTTTTTCACAAGAGCAAAGGAAAACAAGTGAGAGAATACAGCACTTGGGTGTACACTGAAATAAGAAAAAGTACATTGAAGAGGGAAGGGCAGCTTCAGAAAACTGCTGTCATACCTCCCCAGTGCCAAGCAGCACAGCATGGAGGGGGAAAAATCCTTCACTTGGAGAAGGAGAGAAGTGAGCATTGGGCTTTTGCTTCAGACCACAGCACCAGACTAGCCCAGCAGACCCAGGGTCTACTTTGAATTCAAAGTAGACCCTGGTGATAGGCCCCCATGGACCAAGGCTACTGGATCACCCCTGCAGACTCAAACTCCAAGTCAGCCATAGTGAACATAGGACCCAGGCCTGACCTAATGTCTGGCCAAACTCTGTAGACTTAGGCTCAAGGCCTACCCCAATCAGGTCAGCCCTTGTGGAGCCAGGCTTTAGGATAGCCCCTTGTAGATTCACCCCTAGGTCTATCAATGCTGTGGGGCCAATCAACAGGCCCAACCCACTGGATCCAATCTCCAGGCACAAAGATCTGTATGCCAAAAGCTGTAAAATACTGATGAAATAAATCAGACACAAATAAATGGAAAGATACCCTGAGTTCATGGACTAGAATAATTAACATTGTGAACATGTCAAAATTGTTAAAATACCTGTACTATCCAAAGTAACTTAAAGATTAAATGCAATCCCTATCAAAATTCTACAGAATTAGATAAAACATTTTTCACAGAAATAGAAAAAACATTGTAAAATTTGTATGGAAATGCAAGCCAAAAACAATCCTGAGCAGAAAGAAATCTACTACATTGCTAAAGTAACCAGAACAGCATAGTACCGACACAGACCAATGGAACAGAAAAGTGTCCAGAAATAAATCCACATATTTATGGTTGATTTTGAACAAAATGCCAAGAACACATAATAGGGAAAGAACAATCTTCAATAAATGGTGTTGGATCTCCTTTAGTCTCTCATGTCACACCATATAGAAAAAGCAACATAAGGCCAGATGTGATGGTGCATACATAAAATCTCAGCTCTTGGGAGGCTGAGGCAGGAGGATAAGTTCAATGCCACTCTGGGGCACATAGTGAGACTGTGTCTCAAAAGAACAAAAAGCAAACAAGTAACACACACACACACACACACACACACCACAGCATTGAAAACTTAAATGTTAAGACCTGAACCTGTGAAACAAGAAGAAAAAAACATGAAAGTTTTATGTATGATATTGGTGTGGGCAAAGATTTTTCTAGATTTGATCCCTAGAGTAGAGGCAACAAAAGAAAAATCAGCAAATGTAATGAAACCAAAAAGTCTACACAGGAAAGGAAACTCTCAACAGGGTTAAGATACAACCTATGGAATGAGACAAGATATTTGCAAACCATACCTCATCTAATGAGGTGTTAATATCTGAAATTTATAAGGAATTCTAACAACTCAATAGCAAGAAAACAATAACCTCAGTTTTAAAAGTGACCAAAAGACCTGAATAGATAATTGTCAAATGAAGACATTTAAATGGACAACAGATAAATGAAAAAATACTCAAAATCAATAATCATCAAGGAAATACAAATTAAAGCCATGACAAAATACTACCTCACATCTGTTAGAAGGGTTATTGCAAGAGACATAAATAACAAGTGTTAGCAATGAGGTGGAGAAAAGGGAGCAGTTGTACATTGTTAGTAGGAAAGCAAATTAGAATAGCCATTTTGGAAAACAGTACAGAGGCTCCTCAAAAAAATAAAAAATAGAACTACCATGTGATCCAGCTATTGCAATCTAGGTATACAGCCAAAGGAATTGAAATTAGTATGTAGAAGAGATATCTGTATTTCTGTGTATATTGCAGCATTATTGACAACAGCCAAGAGAGAGAATCAACCTAAGTGTCCATTACACAGAAGAACTGGATAAAGAAAATGGAGTATATATATATATATATATATATACACAAGGGAATACAAACTAACCTTAAAAAAAAATCCTGTCCTTTGTGATCACATGGATGAACCTAGAGGACAATATGCTGAATAAACTAAGCCAGGCACAGAAAGACAAATACTACATTATCTCACTTATATGTGGTTATAAAAAAGTCAAACTCAAAAGAGTAAAATGATGTTACAAGAAGCTGGGGATGGAGGAGGTAACAGGATTTGGGAAATACTGGTCAAAGCACACAAAATTTCAGTGACACAGGAGAAATAAGTCAAACAGATTTAGTATACACATTATGGTGACTGCAGTTAGTAGTAATTACATATATCATTTTTTCCCATGCTGGGATCTGAAGCCAGGCCTTGCTTATGCTAGGCAAACACTCTATTAATGAGCTACATTCTCAGCCCACAGTATATTCTATTCTTAAAAATTGCTAAGACAGTAAGTGTTCTTATCAAAAAAAAAATGAGTTATGTGAGGTAGTGCATATATTAAATAGCCTGATTTAGTCACTCCACAATGTACACCAATATCAAAACATTATGTTGTACACCATAAAGACATATCATTTTTACTTGTCAATTTAAATAAATATATAATATCAAAAAGAGAAAAGGAGGGCTGGTAGCTTGAGTAGCTCAAGTGGTAGAGCAGCTGCCTAGCAAGACTGATGCCCTGAGTTCAAAGCCTAGTACCACCAAAAAAAAGTAGAAAAAGAAACTGACTACATTTATAGTCTATGAAGGCTCTGGTCAACAAACTTTTTCCTAGAGTTCAAGGAAGTACTAGGAAACAGTGATACAGCTAAAACAGTGGAGGGAGAGTTGAGAAAGTAACAGAAAGAGGATAAAGCATGAATAATGAGGCTTTGATGAGATGAAAATTGTTACCTTTGATATAGTTGCTAGTCAACAGCACTGTTTATGCAGGAAGAGTTGTAGGGACTACAAAGGTGAGGGGCTATCTCTGCCCCAGGGCAACTCAAGCAAATTGCTTTCATAGCTGTGTTTGTTTCGTTTTATTTTTTTAACTTGGTGATGGATGACTATGAAGATTGAGCATTTAAGTCTTTCTGCTAATAATCCTGAGATATTCCCCAAGTACTTCTCCCCCCTACTCTGGTATAAAAATCAAAGGGTGAAAATCTTTGCTTACTAGTTTTTATGTTCAGTCAATTTCTATCTTATTTAGAGAAGCAGCAGAACAAGATAATACTCACCGGAAGTGAGCACCTAATTTCCAGGCCTTGTAATATATAAAATACACTGAACTGAGCTCCTTACTCTATCAGTTACCATATTTTACTTTCATTTGTCTCAGCAGGAAGGCAGAAGAAATTCTGACAAACAAAAACAATACCTGGGGCTAGGGAGCAGAGTGACTCTATTACCTACTACATGCAATGAAGGCCCTGGGTTCCATCCCCAGCATGGCAAAGGAAAGCAAGCAAGCAAACAAACAAAAAAACCTGTGTCAGCAGGGTGCTGGTGGCTCATGCCTATAATCCTAGCTACTTAGGAGGCAGAGAACAGGAGGATCACAGTTCAAAGCCAGCCCAGGCAAATAGTTCAAGAGACCCCATCTCAAAAATACCCAAAGCTGGTGGCGTGGCCCAAGGTGTAGGCCCTGAGTTCAAAACCCAGTATTATAAAAAACAAAACAAAAACCTGTCTCCATGAAGTTTTAATTAACAGTACCACAGCTAACAGAAACTCTACTTGCTAAGATCAGATAGTATGCCTTGCATATGACAGACTAGAACGTTGAGAATTGCCTAAAAGTCCCAGATGTATTTTTTCTCTTTTCTTAAATTCAGTTTCAACCTCATTTTCCTCTCCATACTCTTTTTTTTTTTTTTTGGTTCTTTAAAAGAGAGGAAGGGGTACATGGATCTGGTACCCCTGGGTGCTTAATCCTTACGTCACAAGTTATTTGCAGAAAGTATTTTTATTTCCATGATATTTGATGTCAAGGCTATGTTTCCACAACACTTCCCCTTTTGCTTTTGGAACAAGGAACATAAAATAATTTAATACAAACTGAAACAATGTATAGTTAAAATATAAATATTGGGGGTCGGAAAATGAATACCAAATTTCAAAGTAAAAAATTGTCAACTGTGAAATTTTGGATTTCCTCTTATTCTCTTTAATCACAATAAGCCTGACCAAACTATCTTACAGAGGCCTCTAGAATCCTAATTCAGCAGAGGTGGGGTGCAGGATTGATAGAAACCGAATCAAAGAGATAAGGCATTTTAACACAATTGGATGACAAGAGGTCATGATGTGTAAATAAATAAAGACTGTAATTCTTGTTTTAATCCATTTTCAACCTAAAAAGTGCAAGGTGATTTCTAGGCTACTCTATAAACCAGTATCACAGGACCTACCTCCTCACAAACTGTAGAAAAACGGTTGAGGAACTGTACAGTGTGCACCACAAATTGATTTAGAAATGCCACCGTTCTTTTCTGTTGAATAGCTGGCACCTGTGTTATGTAAAAACAAACATGATTCTTACAAGGAGAAAAGTACATCGTACAATCTTTTTGATATTTGGATATCATAACGGGGCATTTTGCTGCGTGGTAGGAATTTTTTTGAAGAATTGAGGACAGTCCTAAACCGTGGGTGGAGTGTTGGAAAGTGACAGGAGCTGTGCAGTTAAGTTGGAGAATAGGGTCTAGATTTATAGGCTTGACTTTCAGTAGGTAAAAGCAACACATAACCGCCCCCTACCCCGCGCCCTCCACAAACTTGAGAGCTAAGTAAATGAGAATGTTAGAGGTCGCCAATGGCCTGTGCCCAGCGATCAACCTTGGGTGTAGGGACACGTGACATGGGAAGCAAAGGCTGGGAGGCACACTATGTCCTTCATTAGCTCAGGAGGGACTCCCTTTCATGGCGAGCTGGAGGGCTCTTCTTCCGAGGCCCGCAAACGACGGGCCGGGGGCCAGGGTGGGGCCTGGAGAGGTGGCCTCTCCCCGGGACACGGGCGTCCCTTCCCCAGCCTCCTCCCCGGACGCCGGAAGTTCAACTCCTTCTCTTACAAACCTTGGTCAAGTCTATGCCTGACCCCATGAGTGGAAGCCCGTCCTCATCCATCTCCTCGGCGGGCGGGGGACCCAGGGCTCGCCCATAAAACCCTCCTCTCAAAAACCCCACCCAAACCGGTAGGAGAGCCCCAACGCTTCCCCACGTCCCCGCCCCGGGACTCGTCTGCCGGAAGAAAACGCCTTCGCTCGCCAATTACGAGGCGGCTCCTGGAGAGCCCGCCCCTTCGCTCGGCATTGTGGGATTGGTAGTTCTTGATCTGGATTGTGACGTCAGCTCACAGTATGCTGCACAGGAGCATGGAGCAAGGCTGCTCTTTTAGTTGTAAAATCTTAAATACGGGTTAAAAAAAAAAAAAGGTAAGAAAGAAAGTCAATACCTGCATCCAATTGAGGTTTTCACTTGTCCTGTCTGTTATGTAAATAGCTCTGTCATTCATTGAACTTTTTTTTTTTCTTAGCGCCAGATTCTCTGCTAGGCCTTGTGAGGAATACAAAAATTGGTAGATTGAGCCTGCTGCACTGGAGAGGCTTATGCCCTGAAGGAGATAGATCTGTCTTCAAAGGTCTTCAAGACATGCAATATGTCAAGCTATGGTTGAAACACAAAGCTATGGAAATGACTGCTACTTAGATAATGGAAAAGGCAGAATAGACCTGGGAGGATCTTTGTACCTGGAATTTGAAGATCTTGATTAGGATTTTGTCTCTGCAATTTACCAGCTATTCAAAAGTCACCTAACCAAAATTTTGAATACCTCTTATATACCAAGCAAGATGCTCAGTACTGAAAATATGAAGAGGATAGTCTCTGCCTGCAAGAAATGTTGTGCTGATTGACTCTTCTTTTCACAAAATATTGAAGCATGTGATGCTGTTTGACAGCATTTTTTCCATAGCAGAACTTCTTTCACAATTGGAGTCGTTCCTCTCAAAGACTGCTGCTGCTTTATTAACTAAGTTTGTGTAATACAGTATGCCTGTCTTATGTGCAAATTTATTACATGTGGCTTTGGCCAAGTATGGTCAGACACACACACACACACACACACACACACACACAAACAAAAACAAAAAGAAATTTCAGAAACAAAAATTTTAAATGCCTGTGCATGGATCCCTCAGCTCCATTGATGGCAGAGAAGCTCTCTGTCAGTTCTGCATTATCGTCCATTGTGTTTAAGTAGTTGTGTGACCTCCTGTTTCCCTGCCTTCAGTTTTGTGAAACTATGACTCCCCAAAACAAAATGGTGCCCCTAAAGCAAGGTCAAAGCTATAGTAATCATCCCAAGCCCAAAGAGCATTTCATGTGCTTAATGTAAGTGATAAAGTGAAAATTTTAGATTTGTTGAAAGGCAGCATGACATTATTAGAAAAATGAATCAAGCACCCACTCTATTTGAGATAAACATGAAATAAGATCTGGCTCTTGAGCAGTGTCAACGTGTACAACAGTAATTTTGTGATAGTAATATAGCCTACTCCACGTAGTTTCATGTTACAGATGCTCAGACATACTGTCTGTGTTACAGGTAAAGTTGAACAGTTTTAGAGCACTGAACTTATGCATCCTGAGCACTTACAGTTTTTCCTCAATTGCTGTCTCCTTGGAACCATATACCCCCAGATACCAAAGGTCTACAATACTCTAAACCCTTTGTTGTCATTTTAGCAATGTTCACAGCATCTTCACCAAGTGTAGATGGCATGCAGAGAAGCTACTTTACTTGTTCCTCTGTAAGAAACAACTCATCTGTTAGAGCTTTATCATGAGGCCGGGCACAGTGGCTCACACCAGCATTCAGGAAACAATGATAAAGAAGATTGTGATTCAAGACCGGCCTGAGCAAAAAATGACACTCCATCTCAACCAATAAACAGACTGTGGAGGTGCACACCTTTGGTCCTAGCAATGCGAGAAGCCATAGATAGAACTGCAGTCTAAGCCAATCCCAGGCAAAAATGTGAGACAATGTCTGAAAAAAATAAAGCAAAAAAGGCTGGGTGCATGGCTTATGGGGTAGATCACCTACCTAGCAAGAGCAAGGCCTTCAGTTCAAACCCTAGTAAAGTTGTATCATGAGATTGAGCAAATTCAGTCATATCTCTAGGCTCCAAGAGGGTTGGAATCAACTTCTTTCAAACTCCTTATAATATATTTTGAACTCCTCCTATGAATTATGAACGTTCTTAGTGATATTTAGAATGGTGACTCTTTTCTTGATTTTCAATTTACTTTGCACTAATCCATCAGAGGCTCAGTCTACAGTGACTATGGACTTGTGGAAATTTCTTTTTCCTACCTTCTTCCCTTTCTCTTCCCTCCCTCCCTTTTCTTTTCTTTTCTTTTCTTTTCTTCTTCTTCTTTTTTGTTGGTACATGGGTTTGAACTTAAGGCCCCAGGCTTGCTAGGCAAGTGCTCTACCACTTGAGCAATACCCCTAACTCTTTTGTCCTTTAGTTATTTGGGGGATATGGTCTCAAGTTTTCGCTCAGGCCAGCCTGGACCATGATCTTCCTATTTATGCTTCCTGCATAGCTGGAATGACAGGCATAAGCACCAGCTATTGGTTCAGATGGATTCTTGCTTACTTTTTGGCCAGGCTGGCTTTGACTCTGGGATCCTCTCTATCTCTGCCTCCTGAGTAGCTGGTATTACAAGTATGATCCACCGTACCTAGCTTTTTTCTCTTTTTCCTTCCTTTCTTTCTCCTCCTTCTTCCTCCTCCTCCTCTTGCTCATCTTCTCAGTCTCCTCCTCTACTTTCTCCTCATTCTTATACAGAGTCTCATTCTATAGCCCAGGATGGCCTTAAAGTTGTGATCCTCCGAATTTGCCTCTCAAATTCTGGATTAAGGTGCACACCACCATGCCCAGTTGTATATATTTTCCTAAATAGCAAGACTTGAATGTAAAAATTACTCCTTGATCCATGGGCTGCAGAATAGATACTGCGTCAGCAGGCATAAATCTCATTGTTCATCTCCATTAAAGCTCTTGGTGACCAGGAGTACTGTCAGCTAGCAGCAATATTTTGAAAGGAATCTTTTATCCCTTCCCTTGATCAGTAGGTCTCAACAGTGGGCTTAAACTGTTCGGTAAGTCATGTAAACAGATGTGCTTTTATCTAGGCTTTCTTCCATTTAGACAGCAGAATAATTTTATTATGGTTCTTCAGGACCCTAGGCTTTTCAGAATAGTAAATGAAGATTGGCTTAAACTTAGAATTAACAGCTATATCAGTCCCTGTCCCTTAAAGCTTTGAAATTTGACCCTGACTTCTCCTCTCTAGCTTTGAAACTCCTAGATGGCATCTTTTTCCAATATGAGGCTGTTTCATCATCATAGAAAGTCTGTTGTTTAGTGTGGCTGCTTCCTGCCTTATCTCAGCTTGATCTTCTAGATAACTTACTGCAGTTTCCATGTCAGCATTTGCTGCTTCACCTTGCACTTGAAATGGCTTCCTCAATCTCATGAGCTAATATCTGCTTGCTTCAAGTTTTCTTCTGTAGCTCCTTAACTTTTCTCAACTTTCATAGAATTCAAGAGAGTTGGGGCCTTGCTCTGGATTAGGCTTTGGCCTTTAGGGAATGCTGCAGCTGTTTTGACCATCTCCTATATAGACCACTCAAGCTTTCTCCCTACTAGAAATAAGTCCTTTTTTTGTTTTGTTTTCTTATTATTGACATTATTACTAAAGTATTTCTTCTAACTTCCTACAAGATCTTTACCTTTGATTTCACAGCTTGACTTACTGTACAAGAGGCTTAGCTTTTGGGCTGTCTTGGCTTTTGACATGCCTTCCTCACCAACCTTAAATCATTTCCCGCTATTGATTTAAAGTGAGAGACATATCATTCTTCCTTTCATTTAAACATTTAGAGGCCACTGTAGCATCATTAACTGGACTAACATTGGTATGTCTCAGAGAAAAGGAAGGCCCAGGGAGAAAAAGAGAGATAGACATGGTGAGTTGGTGAAGCAGTCACACAGACAACATTTATGGATTATTTGCCATCCTATATGGATGGGATGTGTGGCCTGCCAGAAAATTATAATAATAATATTGAAGGTTACTGGTCACAAGTCACCATAACAGATATAATGGTAATGAAAGAGTCTGAAAAATTCTGAGAATTACCAAAATGTGACATAGATACTCAAAGTATCTAAGTTTCCACACAGGCTGTGGAAACATAGTACCAGTAAACTGGCTTCATGCAGGGTTGCCACAACCTTCAATTTGTAAAAAAAAAAATCTGCAAAGTTCAATAAAGCAAAACACAATAAAATAAGGCATGCTTGAACTGTACTTGTGCCACAGCTATAAATAACATAAACACTGTGACAGTTCTAGACAACTGTACTTACGTTTTGTTTTTTTTCTCCCTTGAGAAAGTCCATACAAGCTGGAATTTTTTCATTAGACTGTAAATTTCTTGGACCAAGGATTTTTCTTTTCTTATGACTCCTAAATTAGTACCATTCATTCTGAGTTTCAGTGAAAACTCATTAATAATTTTTATACTCGGTTTTGAGGGCTTACTATGATCCATGCATGATCCTTAACATTCTTCCATCCATTCATCCATCCATCCATCCACTATTCATTCCCTTCATTCATCCACCCTGCCATCTCTGCTCCTTTCCTCTTATCTATCTATTCCTCCATTCCTCTATCCATCCATTCCTCCATCCTTCCACTCCTCAATACTTCCAATTCTCCATCCATCTACCCATCCGTTCCTCCATCCATCCATCCACCCATTCCTCAACCTATCCATCCATCCATCCATCCATCCATCCATCCATCCCTCCCTCACTCCGTCCCTCCATTCATCCACCCATCCATCCAAACGATGTTCCCTGTTATGTGCTAAGCCCCACTATAAATAAGGATATAGCAGTGACTAGAACAGACAGGACTTCTGCCTTTGAGAAGGTAAATGGATAATAAATAAAGAGATTAAGTTGCCCGTAGTCCAGATTGGGAGTCAGAAAAATGAAAAGAGATCAATAGTGTGAAAAAGGCAAGGCTAAAGTTTCTCTGAGAAGTAGTACCTAACAGGTTGATGAATTAGGAATAGTTTTTTAAAGAAAAGCTGATGCCTGG